ATACTTTAGTGTAATAGGTATAAAATTGCTTCCAGTTACAAGTTTAGCGGTGGTTGATGAAGAATATTGTGATAACCGTTAGCAAACTCTCAGACATTTTGCTATTAGTTGGATAATATCTGACATTATATTTTCTGCCCTTACCAAAACTTACCAAAACTCAGCCGATAAAACTGGAAATGCCTCCTGGCCACATTTTGTATCGTTTTGTTCTCGGGTTTTCTTTTAACGTTAGACTTTGTCGGTGTTTCTTTCTTTGTGACCGCTGACGATGAAATCCAGCCGTTATCGGCCCTCTCAACCGTTACCGTTGACTGCTCAGTGATGCCACGCGCTCTGGCTGTTGGTGCCAGAGATGATGTAATGATGTAATGATGTCATCGCTAACGTTCAACAGGTTGCTTACGGCCTTAAAGAAAAGTTTTAATTTTTTAATTTTAATCTAAATTTATTTCTTAAATTATAACAAACATAAAACAAAACTACAGCCAACGTAGGCACGTTCAAAAGCATTTTGTATTATTATTATTATTATTATTATTATTATTATTATTATTATTATTTGGACACGTAGTCTAAACCTCAAATAGACTCACAGCGCCACCCAATGTTAAACAGGACAGGTAGAGGCAGAGCTACACTTCCTCCCCTCAGGCTCAAAATATAAATATTTAAGAGAGAAATAATTCTCAGGTATAACAAAAATATATCCTGACTGAATTTAAAAAACCCTATTTACTGGTAGAAATGTGAAATTATTGCTGCAAAATGAAACTCATAATGCCACGATTTAAGAACAACCAGTGGAAACTGAGATTAGAATAAAAAATAACTCATCTTTAATCGTTGTCGCTTGTTTACTTAAAGATACTGTAATAATATAAATTATGATTACTATCAGTTATTATTGTTATTTGTTCGAGCTCTCCACTTCCGCTTCCGGCGACTGTACGACGTAGCATTTGGCGCCCTCTACTGGACCGTCACCATAGCGACAACGTCTAAAAGATTAAAACAACGACCGATCCTGGATCAGTCTCTGGAGGCGACATATGTTTCGTGGTCTACTATTATTGGTCCAGACACACCGTCTTGTTGTCCAATGGCAGGCAGACATCTGTTCGCTGGAGCGACTCTAAAATATTCGCTTCCTTCTCCACAAGGTATTCACGACCCAGCCACGACGTTGCCAGCAGTGAAACAGTAGAGTTGAGATGGGGAAAATGCCAGTTTTGGGTGCAGTTGCGGTCCTACTAGCAGTGTGCTGCGTAAATGCAACTGTTTACTTTCGGGAGGAGTTTGTGGACGGTGGTAAGTTAAGTTTGGCCTAACGCTAAAGATTTCTAACATTAGCTGCTGCAGGAGGTTAATTCATTGCACGTTAGCTTGACTGTTAGCCATTATTTGGTCACAGTTATCGTCTTGAGTTTCTCTTGATAGCCTGTTATCTTCATTAGACATGTTTTGTTTTTTTTTAAATTGGCAATTCAGTCGAAAATACTTCCTCAGTTTTGTAACTTTAAATGGGTTGTTAGTTAGCTATCTTTAGCAAGGGCCCAAAGCTAGCAAACGGTAGTACCCACATAGCACTGACACACAAGTTACACTAGAAATGTGTTAGTAAACCAAACCAATAACGTCGTTTGGACTGTTTCAAAGACTAATGTTAACTTCAATGAATGGACGGTTGGGTGTGTTGGAAGTGTACCAAGTGTTAAACATCTTTTTTTTTTATTTTATTTTTTTTACCCCTGTTCAGATGAGTGGAGAAGTCGCTGGGTGAACTCCAAACACAAATCTGACTATGGAGAGTGGAAGCTGACGGCTGGCAGTTTCTATGGAGATGCTGAGAAAGACAAAGGTAAACTTTAAGTGATAAATCATCGTGTGTGTTGATCATGCTATGTTCGTTTCATGGCTAAAAGAATTAATTAATATTTTAAAGTTAGGAATGATCAATGGATCATTTGAGAACAGTAAATAAAATAGAATAAATTACTGCGTTCTCTGTTTCCACGTTGTCTTTGCTCTGAATCTATTTTATCTAGTCTAACTTATAGTTCCCACACGGTTAGCCAAGGAGAACCTATTCAGTTTAGTGTTTGTCTTGCTCAACGCATGTTTCTTCACTTTTTTTCAGGTCTGCAAACGAGCCAGGATGCTCGTTTCTACGCTTCCTCGGCCCGTTTTGAGCCTTTCAGCAACGAGGGCAAGCCTTTGGTCATTCAGTTTACAGTCAAGCATGAGCAAAAGATTGACTGTGGTGGTGGCTACGTGAAGGTCTTCCCTGCTGACATGGATCAGACTGAGATGCATGGAGAATCCTCATACTACATCATGTTCGGTAAGTGATGATGCTCATGGTAATGGACAGTTATAACGATTACAGCAACAGGCTTTGGAACATGTAGTAATTAAATTCATTTCACCCAGGCCCTGATATCTGTGGCTACAGCACCAAGAAAGTCCACGTGATCTTCAATTACAAGGGCAAGAATCACCTCATCAAGAAAGAGATTAAGTGCAAGGTAATTATGACATTTTAAAATATTTAAAAATATAAATATACAAACATGCACTACCTCTGCACCAGTGGCTTAATCCAAACACATCTGTTTTCTTCTAGGATGATGAGCTGACCCATTTGTACACACTGATCCTGAATCCAGATCAGACCTATGAGGTGAAGATTGATAATGAGAAGGTAGAATCTGGCAGTCTTGAGGATGACTGGGACTTTCTGCCTCCTAAGAAAATTAAGGACCCTGAAGCCAAGAAGCCCGAAGACTGGGACGACCGCGCCAAGATTGATGATGCTGACGACACCAAGCCTGAGGTGAATATGTTTACTAATATAATCAAGTAATAAAATGACTCAACCTCATTCAGCATAAATGCACTGACTAAAAGTGTTGTTGTGACCATGGGAAATGCAGACAAAAGGAGGAATGTTTTTCCATTCATTTCTCTCCCAGATTTCCACAGCAGTCCTGGGCTTTAAAGAGCTAAATTTACATTCACAATTCTGTTAACTAAACTTCAATCTTTGCATTGTTTGTTCTTTTTTAGGAGTGGGACAAACCTGAAAACATTCCAGACCCTGATGCCAAAAAGCCTGAAGACTGGGATGAAGATATGGATGGAGAGTGGGAGCCACCCATGATCCCCAACCCAGAGTACAAGGTAGGCTAAAGTTCAATAGTCGTGGCCAAAGCTTATGCTTTGTGTGATCTCCTCTGCGTGAGAAATGCTTAACATTGACTGCTAATGCATTTGCAGCCTGAATAATACTTTCTGTATTGCAGGGAGAATGGAAACCCAAACAGATCGACAACCCCAACTACAAAGGAGCCTGGGTGCATCCTGAGATTGACAATCCTGAATACAGCCCTGATTCAAACATCTACAAGTTTGACAACATTGGTATTTTAGGTCTTGATCTTTGGCAGGTGAGCGAGAATATCATCTTTGAATAATAATGTTTTTTTGCCATAGTGTTGCTTGAATACAGTGTAACGTTTGTCACTGTTTATCTCAGGTGAAATCTGGTACCATCTTTGACAACTTCTTGATCGCAGACGACGTGAAGGAAGCAGAAGACATTGGAAATGAGACATGGGGTGTGACAAAGGTATGCTGGCGTTCTGTACAAGCCATATTTGGTCATTTGTACAACACATGAAACTGTTGCCAATGAAATATGAATAGATTTATATTAATTATCTAAACTTTCACCACAGGAACCAGAAAAGAAAATGAAACAGGAGCAAGATGACCTGAAACGAAAAGAAGAGGAGGAGAAGAACAAGGAACAAGACACCGAAGCTGATGAAGACGATGATGTCGATGATGATGGAGACGAAGACGTGGATGAGGAGGAAGACACGAAGGAAGACATGGAGGAGGCACTTTCAAAAATGGTTGACGAGGAAGCAATGCACAAAGATGAGCTTTGAGGAGGTGCCAGAGATTTTGTCTGTCCCTCCTTTAGAAACTCTGTCCTTTATTTCCCAGGGGTATTGTGGCTGCTGTGCATCCTTTCCCTGAGACCTGGACACATCCCAACTTTGGGGGCAAAAGTAGTGTAGGGTGGCAAGTTGATGTTAATGGACTTAGTTTCTCTTTCATTTTGGTCATGATATTGCCCTGTTGCCCCAGACCTGCTGGGTTGATTCTTTCCATGTACAAAGTGCATTCCTCATTTTGTAATAACAGAGAATAAGGAGGCACTGACATCAGTTTTCTTGATTTTTCTCGATCTACACATCTTCTTTATTTGCAGATTTCCTTGCACAGGTTGGACAGTTTACCAGAAGCTCTGGTAAAAAAAATTCACATTGAGATTTGCAGAAAATAAGGATTAGTCATTTCCGATTTCCTCATGGTCTCGAAAGGAAATTTTCTGCCTGCTGAAACATAAAAAGCACATAAGTGAACATACAATGCATAAACTGTAAGACAAATCACAACATACAGACAGATGAAACTGTAATGTAAATTATTTTGGTTATGTCTGTGGCACTGACTTCTTATTTTCCTTTTCCACACTCTTTAAGGCATAATTGAATGAAGTGTTGTGACAGGATTGAATCTTCATCAAAATGCACAATGAAATTGTTTTTCTCTGCAATGAAATGACATGAAGTCCACATGTCTTCATGGTAATGTGATGGGACCTGCATAATATCTTGAAAGTCTGGAGAAACAGATGGTGAGCCCCTGGTGTGACCCATGACATCACTAAGGGTCATACACTTATTTTTATTGGACAGAATGTTATTGATACCAAAGTTTTTATTAAAAGATTATAACCTTGTTGCTTGGTCATATTTTGTACTGTTTTTGTTATGTAGCTCAAATGTAAGTTATCTGCCTTAACACCCACATTTTAACTTCAGTGTTTTCCACTAGTGGGCAGAATGGAAGCAGTTTAAATCTATATTTGTCCCAGTGGGAAGAAACAAACAACTTCCTCAAACTGTAGCAATAAGAAAAAAATGTTTTTCATCATATTCCAAAAGCTAATCCAAAAAGGTTTTTACTTACATTAGTTGCTACGTAATAAAAATTTTAAATAAGTTCTGTTTTTGCAGATTGAATACAAAAACCTTATAAAGTGCAATGTCTTGTTCAGTGGCAAAGTCAAGCTAATAAGTAAAGCATAAACAAATAAATACCATTTCTGAAATTGGTTCTTTCTCACCATTTCTCTGGGGGGAAACTTCATGGGCCCCTGTTGACCAACCGCTTCCTCCCTTTAGGTGTCCTGTTCAACACACACAGCACAGCTTTATTATATTTTGCCCAGAGCCCCAGAAACCCTACTCTTGCTGCTGGAATACTACTACTAAACTTCAGGTTTATCTGATTAAACACTGGTTTATACAGGAATATGCACCGTATAAGAAAAATATAATGATTTAAATATGATTTCAAGACAAGGCCTCAAGATTTGGTAAAAGATGCAGTTAATATTATGATACAGTAGTAAATTATTCCTACACAAAATTGCAATAAATCAAATTACAACTGGCAGTCAACCTGAGGGCCCCCTGTGCATCTGGGGTCTGTGTAGGAATACCAACCTTACGTTTTTCATATGGAAGAAAAATGGCATGAACGCTCAGCTTTGAACAAAATACATTAAGTCTATGAACCAAAATAAAAAAGAACTACTAACAAACACAGCAGTGAGTTTGATGAGGACCACCTGTGCCTGGTCGTATGGGGGTTTTCCCCACTGCTAAGGACTAGAACAATACACTTTTAACCATCTGTTATCTCAGTATCAGTCCCTGCTTGGTTCACAGTTGGCTGACTCCCCAGTGCTCCTGCATATAGTGACCGGGGAGGGCACGGAAACACCCACCGGAACCACGGTTTCCCTCAGATCTGTCGCCGCTCGTCCCCGCTCGGTTAAGGGGCGTGTGCGCACTCCCGAGACACCAGGAAATATGGCGGCGCTCATGACTCTCAGTCAGGTAAAGACTCTCAATAGCTCAGAAAAAAGTCTCCAATTTAAACACTGGTCGTTATCAAGTGACAGTGACAGTCGCTGTGTGGTCTCACCACTTCACTGCTTTATAAGCTGTTGTGAATATTAGCCAGAGGAACCGTGTTATGAGCAAAAAACCTTTCGTTGTGAGCGAAGTTAACATGGTTCACTAAGCTAGGTTAAGTAAGGATAGCAGAGTTATTGTACGTTTAAATGGAAGAAGGCTACTATTGCAGGGAACGTAGTAACAAAGGTGATACAAGTGAACACAACAATGTGGTTAACTAGGAGCTGCAGCTGCTTGTCTTAGCGTTAAAGCCATTTCTGAGCTCTCTGAACAGCGTAGCTAATTTAATGTATGTGCTAGCTGACACTCTCTGGTTTGTAACACAGCTGGTGTTGTGTTTCTCTCCTGTCTGCAGTTATCAAGCGGAACCCCAGCCTATGAGAACTATTACAGGCAGGTAAGGTTTGGGGTTGCTGCTGTGATTCCCCCCTCCAGCTCTTCTGTTTCTACTCAGCTGAATAATATCTGTAAGGTAAAACCATCCACATGCTGCATCCACTTTGTGCTTTTGTTTTTGTTTTGTAGCTGGATCCGGGAAACACAGGCAGAATATCTGCTGGAGATGCAGCTCAGTTCCTTAAGAAGTCAGGGCTGTCGGACAGTACACTGGGGAAGGTGGTTCAAAAACTCATGCACACACACATTAAAACTTATATATCCAGTTAATGGCATCTAAACTGTTTTTTTTCCCCCTTCAAATTGTTTTTTAGATTTGGGATTTGGCAGATTCTGAAAGGAGAGGCTATTTGGATAAGCGGGTAACGTTACATTTCCATGTAAATTGGCTGTTGTTGGTGATGCTGATGTGTGCATTAAAAAAAAAACGGATTTTCTTGGCTTTCTTCCTCTTTCGTAGGGTTTCTTCATAGCGTTGAGACTGGTGGCGTCAGCGCAGTGTGGAAATGATATCAGCCTCAACAACCTCAACCAAAACCTAGCTGCACCCAAATTTGTAAGTGATGAAGTGACTCTACTGACAATTACAGTGTCCGGTGACGTGATAGGGAAGACAGTGGGTGGAGAAAAACAACATCTGTAGCTCAAATGAGAAATTAATGGACATTGAATACATCCCTAGCTGTTTTTCCTCCTGTTCATACAGTTGTTACTATTCTCTGCTTGTTTGTATCTCATCCTCTGCTGATCTTTTACAGAAAGACACTAGCAGCCCATTATTAAATGTTTCAACAACAGGACCTGACTCACAGTGGGGAATTAGGGTGAGTTGATGAGTATTTGTAATAAATAATTATTGAGGATATTAGAAAATCAAGCTTGTCGCCTAAACTTGAGGTTTTTTTTCTTCCGCAGCCTGATGAAAAAGGGAAGTTTGAGGGTATATTTGAGAGTCTGTCCCCTGTGAATGGTCTCCTCTCTGGTGATAAAGTCAGGCCAGTTTTGATCAACTCCAAGCTACCTCTGGATGTGTTAGGAAAGGTGATGATATTACATGTTAAAGTGATGTAGCACATAACACTTTCCCCTGACATTCCAATGTTAACAATTCAAAGCAACTAAATCTTCTTCATTTTGGCATTTACTTAATGATTCTGTAGATTTGGGACCTAAGTGATGTCGACAAAGATGGACAGTTGGACAGAGATGAATTCACAGTGGTAAGCTGGTGCATCTGTTTACTTAAAGTTGTACTGTCACTCCAGGGTAATTCTGGGAAAGCTAATACTTGATTGTCAATCAATAAATGATCTGATTTCCCACTTTCTAGGCCATGCATCTTGTGTATCGGGCAATGGAGAAGGAGCCTGTTCCAACCACCTTACCTACTTCCCTCATCCCCCCTTCTAAAAGGAAGAAGTTTGCAGGTGCCCTGCCAGGTGCTGTGGCTGTGCTGCCTGCTATGTCCGGGCTTATGGGTGGCGCAGCTCTTCTTAAGGAGTCCTTGCGAAGCACTCCTCCTCTGGGCAGCCCTCTCCTCACCACCAGTACCGTCAACCTCTCTCCAAAACACTCCTTTAAATCCAGCTCACCGGTATGTCGCATCACATGTGTTTCTCTTGAGGTGTTGATGTAGTAACTCATGTTGACTGCTGATGTGTCTAACATAGCCAGACATACATATCCACACTTAGTTTTAGCAGGTTGGAGGAGGAGAAAGTGAGTGAAATTTCACAAAAATAGAACCAAGGCGACACTAAGTGACACTTAGCCCATTCACTGACGCATGGAGCAGGTTAGGATATCTTCATTGGGAAAGCATTCATCTCACATTACACAGTATCAGCACCACTGCAGGTAGAGTACCACAGCACTAACCCATAAGGAACATTAGCTTTAATGATTTACAATTGAACATGTGAAGCTTTCACTTAAAATGATTAAAGTGTTGTTAGATGTGATAGAAATAATATAAATCATATTATATTCATATATATTTATGTCATTTATTCTATCAAGTTAGCTCAAGTCTGACCTTATAGGTTTAATGTACTCAGTCCACTTGGTCCAAATATTAAAACTGTCTTTCTGGACTTCGCACGAAAATTACAGCCTGTCCATAATATTTATTTCATGTATAATCCTTGAGATGGCATTTTTACTTGCTGCCAGATGTGTTTGTACCAATTTCAAATGAGATGGTACTCATGTATACAGTATCACATCTCAAAGGAATATCAACTCCAAATTAAGTATTATATGTGTTTATGAATTCCCTGCCAATGGGGCACAATAAAACAAACAAAAAAATGTATTTGCTCAGAATAATTCATTTAAACAACAACATTTTGTGAGATTATAACATGATATGATCATATTTTCACATATAATTTGGAAAGTTGATAAAAGGTAATATTGAATTTGTTAAAGAAAAAAAGAAGAAATTGCTCCCAGTGCAGTGTCATGTCCTCCAGGGTAATCTTGGGAGGCATTACAATGTCACTTTTTGAATGTGGCTGTAAAGTGAAACACAATCACTCTTGAAAAAAAATCAGTACATTTAGTTTTACTTGCTCCTCCCTAAGTAAGTTTCACAAGGGCAGAGACTGACTTGAAACCAGCATTTCATGTATTGATTCTTTTCTTTTGCTAACGGGCGGACTTGTTTTGCCACATTGTTTTGAGCATTGTGCACAGCCCGGTGTGTTTCTCTCTGCCTTTTTATAGCTGCAGGGATTTTTCACCCGTGACTTTAAGGGAAACAGGTTTCCTTGAAAGGGAAAGGAAGCAAGACTCTGCTTACACTTGATCCTGATCACCTCATGTGGCTGTCATGACACTTGTTGTGATTTATTCTTTCTTATGCCACTTTCTCATTACCATTTTTTCCCATTCATTTTAATTGTCAGACATAGGATTTCCTATGCAACTTACCCGAGGCGTAAAGTTCACGTGTCCATACCAGATTTCCTAGAACACAAATTTCAGATTTGACAAACAAATCATCATGAAGCCAGTACATTTTCATCCAGGGTAGGACTCTTAGCTGTGTTTGCCAAGACTTGTTTGTGTGTGTATATATATGGTAAACCTTTTTCCTCATTGGTCACCAGGTACAGTCCCTTTTCAGTATAATACATAATTACCACCTGTTGTTGTTAAACATATTTTTTTTTTTTGTTGCTCTTAGCAGATGGTGTTTCCCTCATCTAAAATCACATAAATTATGTCTTTCCAGGCAGTGGTAAACTGGGTAGTACCGGTGGCCGACAGGGAGAGGTATGATGAACTCTTCAAGAAAACAGACACCGACAGTGACGGCCTCGTTAGTGGAACTGAGGTCATAGAGATCTTCATGCTGTCCAGTCTCTCCCAGACTATGCTGGCACAGATATGGTGAGACCACAGCTCACTTCAAAGCATATTTATTTACAGATGTTTTACTTATTACTTTACAACACACTTTTCACATATTAGGAGAATATTACATTGGATAAGAAAGCCCAGTGCACTGCAACTTAAGAAAAAAACAAGCAAATTATGAAACACATTTACTAATTTGAGAGTTCATATGTGGCATATGCAGTTTTTTGTTTTTCAATAAAAAAAAAATTACTCCCATTGAACCAATCTTACAAGAGCTTTTCATCATACTTGAGCACCTGAATAAGACTGAATCACTCATGCCTATGCATAGCTACTCTCATTATATTTAACTCTATAGCTCCACTTTGTGGACAGTTCAAGGTATTACACGTGTTTGTAATTTGAGCATATTGTTTTTGTTGTTGATGATGATTATAATGATGATGATTATTGTTACTGTTATTATTATTATTATTATTATAATTATTATGAGAAAGAATACAGTATCTCATGTTTTAAGTGAAGTCATCCTCCTCTCTGCAGGGGACTTGCTGACACTAAACAGACAGGCAAGCTTACCCGGGAGCAGTTCTCTCTGGCCATGTATCTGATCCAGCAGAAGACCACTAAAGGTGTAGACCCTCCATCCACACTAACCCCAGACATGATTCCCCCTTCAGAAAGGACTGCAGCTTCAGCGGTGGGCCCTGTGAGTCCTGACTTTAGCCTACTGCTTCATTTTTCAGTAGCCCTATTTACTGTAATTCTTCTTATCTTCCAAAGCCAACAGTTTCACTTGCGTCTGTGCCTCACAAGTCTTTTTCTTGCCACTATGTGCATTTTTAAAAGGAAGTTCTGCTTTCTGGCTTTCCAGCCTTGCCTTGCAAAACAGTTTTTTATGCTTCTGCTTTTTTGAGTTCTCTTCTATCCTGTCTAACAGAGCTATGCAGGGCTTATGTCCGCTGTGAGACCTGACCTTGATGCACTTGCTAATATGCGCAGAGTGAGTAGTTGAGCTTTGTGTCACGAGGTGGCGCTTTTGTTCTGTTATATTCTGTCTCAGTCTGAAACATTGGGTGTAAACAGGACCATGTTCCTTGTATTATGTATTAGTTTCCAAGTTCATTTTCACCAACAAAGGTGAACACAAGATTTCTTTGATCATGTTTATCCATTACAACATATTTTTCATGCCTTGGATTTTCCTCACATTTGTGTTTTATAGAACTCAACTGTGTTAAAAGCAAACACTGCCACCTACTGATAGTTCATCATCAGTGCTTTCCCACAGCAACCAATGTTAAGGTGCGGCTATAATGTAGTTAGTTAATAGTGTATTTAATTCTAGTAAAACTTGTAGGTCTGAAAAAAGACAAACTATTACAAAGTTTTCCTGCTTTTTTTCACATTATGATTATATTTATTATTATTATTATTATTATTATTATTATTATTATTCAAAATTTGACTCCAAACAGGCAAGTACCAATATTAATTGACTCTAGTCGAGCCTTCCACATCAAAGAGAGTCTGGTCTTTTGTGTTTATTATGAGCAGATTGATGCAAGAGTTTTCAAAGAAATACAGTACAAATACGTGTTCTTTTGTAACTCTTACACAAGTACTATCATTACAAACAAATAGCTCTGTTACATGGTTCCCTTTTTGAGGTTGAACATGAAAGTTAAAAAAAGAAATTAAGGATGGAGAAAGTGTAGGGTATATTAAAGAAGAGGACATTGTTTTTTCTATTGAGACTCAATTTGTTAAAAGGCTTGATATATTAAACATTGACATTTAAGCTGGATTTCACTGTACTGTTAAATTTGTTTGTATTCTCTTGTCAGTTATTCATTTCTCCTCATTCATGTATTGTCTGGAACTCTTGCTCCCTCCCTAGCTGTGCAAGGTGTTTGTGTTTCCTTCCTGTGTCTTTTGTTTTGTTAGACATATCAGCAGGGAGCTCCCCTCTCCCCCCTACATACCATTTGTGTCCCCTCTGCTCTCGCCCTTCTCTCCCTCCTTCTTGTCCCCTTTCCCTAATTTAACATATTTCATCTTATCCCATTTTTCACATCCTCATTTTGTACCTGCCGTTGTCAGTCTCGTCATCTCTGTTCTCACACCGTCTGTCACCCTTACGTCCACGTTCCATCAGACTGTCTTACCTCCGTTTCTCTCGCCTCTCTCACTCGTCTGTGTCTGTCTCTCGCCTCAGGACAGCACCAGCTCCACGGGGTCGGCCGAGCTGACGGGCATCAAAGAGCTGGATGACCTCAGCCAGGAAATAGCTCAGCTGCAGAGGTGAGCCCCTGCATTCTGAGTAGCAGGAGGACAGCTTTGTTTCTCTTCCTCTGAGGAAAAAAAAGGAGGAGAGGTTGCAGTGAAGTGATGTTTAGGATCAAAGCTCTTTTTAACTATTAGATACATTTTGATCAATTAATGTTAGCCTTTATTTAACCAGATGTTCTTATTAGATTCTCTGAGAGAGACCATGACGCCTTGCTTTAGGCTTATTTTAAAGTCTGACCCATCATTAACATGTGGACTAAAATAATGTTTTATACAGTTAGAGGCAATACTTGGATTATTGCAGTTATCATGCTAATACATTAATTAGATTATCTTACATTCTTAGAAAGTGTCAATTGGAGTAAATGTAAAACCCTTTCCAGACCTGGAGACAGTATATACAATTATTAGGGGCGGCCTACACTGACTAAATATTACAGTTTACTTTTAGTGCTTCAAGTCTGCATATTATGGCTATGGTCATGGAAAGAATACTGATCAGAGTGTTGCAACAACAGTTCAGATTTTTGGGTGTTTCCTCAATGTTTATTTCTCTGGAAATCCTGCTGTCTCCACATCACGCTGAACTCACTTTGAACCTTTTTTTTTGTTGCCCATGCCTGTTCAAGTTTACCACATTAGGACAATTTATATAGTGTCAAGTAATTGAACATCAAGTGTTGCATCTCTTTAATGTGATTTCAGTCTGTTTTTTCAAGCGTATTAAGAAAAGAACACCAGATACGTCATTGGACACAATGCCAACATTGGCTTTGTTATGAAGTAATAACACTGTTGTTTACTAAGTCTTAGTCTTCTCCCATGTCGTCCACCTATAGAGAGAAATTCATTCTGGAGCAGGAGATCAGGGAAAAGGAAGAAGTCATCAGACATCAAAATAGTGAAGTTCAGGTAAGTCTGAGCTATAATAGTTTTCAAGTCTGTTAAAGGTTAAAATATCAGTTCATCTTAGTGCTTGGAAACAATATGAAGTTCAGAGGTTCAAATAGATGTTTTTATATGACTGGTCTACAGCCTAAAAACACATAGTGTTTATACAAAAAGCAAACTTAGGAATCCATTTAAACCATTTTTAAAGTGTTGTACGTTTGTGGAGGGGTTGCAATCATTAGACATTGTGTACTCACTAGTCCCTTGCTGATCTACACCCTTGACCCTCAGGACATGCAGAACGGCTTGGACAGGGAGAGCAGCAGCCTGCAGGACCTGGAGTCACAGAAGCAGGATGCCCAGGAACGTCTGGAGGAGATGGACCAGCAGCGCTCCAAGCTAGAGGGAATGCTCAACGATGTCAAGCAGAAATGCCAGGAAGAGTCCCAGATGGTTAGAGACTAGATTCATTTAGATCAGCACCCATATATTGAAACAACAAATGCTTTTGTGTTTTGTATTGGTATCCTGGTGACATGGTAATACACAAGCAGATGTAATCTTGTTGTGTTGTAATCCTTTGTGCCAAGCAGATAATGTTTGGGTATCTTTGGAGATACCAGATATCAATCAGATGTCAACAGTCAATAGATAGTGTGAAAACAGTGAGGCCAGTTGAGGTTAAGGTTTATGTGGGTGGCTACAAATATAAAACATATTACTCTTTTTCCGCTTCTACCCTGCAGATCTCGTCCATGCAGAGCCAGATCCGCTCTCAGGAGACCGACCTCCGGAGCCAGGAGGATGAGCTGAGCCGCACCAAGGCGGACCTGAGCCGGCTGCAGGAGGAGGAGGCCCAGCTGGAGCAGAGCCTGCTCTCTGGTCGTGTTCAGTTGGACAGCATCATTAAGTCACTCAAAACCACTCAGGAAGAGATCAACCAGGTCAGTGCGGGCAGAGTAATAAGCCAGTAAGCTTTCTGATAAACTCAGTATCGTATGACATAAAGATTGTCTGTGAAGTTTGAAAATTAAGCTCTGGATATCCAATTATAAATCTGCCTTCCCTGTGCAGGTGGGAGTGTTTTGTGTTGCTTGTGATGGTTTTTATAACACAGCAAACTCACTTTTAGAACCGGTAGTTTTACTTTCCTCCATGACCTTTGTGCTAATGTATTTAGCAAGCTCTGAACCACACAAGTTTGAATCACACTGAAGTGAAACTGTTGTATCATAGTGGTTAAGGTTAAGCGTTTTTTTTTTTATCAGCTAAACCACTAACCACTACTTACATAATTAGTGTAGGTAAATCTATGACAGATGAGAATTTTGCTAAATACATTACTATTCCGGCAATAATGTGCCAATTCTGCGTTTGCTTTGAAAATCATTTTAGTCAAAAATATATCATAGTGGCCTGTTATGACCATGGTGACACATTTGTAGGTGGGAGATTTTCCATCATTGAACAGCTTTGAAACCTGTTATGAAGAGACCAATAGAGACCTAAGAGATCTATATACGTTATTGAATCTCTTTTATTTCTTTTATGTGCTTTTAGGCTCGGAGTAAGCTGTCGTTGATCCAGGACAGCCAAAAGGAGGTGACCAAAACCATTGAGCAGTACAACAGCGCTTTGAGCGACATCAATGGAGGAAACTTAAGCAACCTGCCGGACTTGAGTGAAGGTTTTGCTGAGAAGGAGAACGGAGGTTTCAGAAGTGCGGTGAGGAGATCATGAATATATGACAATGACAATTAAACCTAGAACTCATAAACTTTATTTGGCCTTTCCTTCTAATGATCCTGGTTCAGATTTTGATTCATAACCCCTAAAATGAAGAAAAAAGAAAAGAAAAAAACTGCTTAAACCTCTCCATCTCAGTAGTAGCACTTTTCATATCACCTACTCCTAATTTGCTTTGTTTCAGATGAATGCAAAGGCAAATATGGTGAAACCCGTTTGTTACAAAATATTTTCCTTATGCCATACCACATTTGTTTCACTCTCTTTAGAAAGTGAACATGCTCTTTTTATAGCTGTCTCATTGTTTTCTGCTGTAACATAGTCACCATTTAAAGAAGGTCTGTTTTTCTGTATTCATTCATCAGGACGATTCTTTCAAGTCAAAGATAGCCATGTTCAACAACAGCAGTGCTAAAGAGCCTCCAGCAGACCCTTTCCAGACAGAGGACCCCTTCAAGTCCGACCCCTTCAAAGGTCTGAATACCTTCTTGCATCTTTTCATCATTTACTTTACAATGTTATTCTTTGCTCTGCCAGCTGTTGCTTGCTTGGTAATAACCTGCACTAATGCTGTGCCCCTGTGAATAAGCATTTCCACTAAATACCTGAAATATGCCTACACTAAAGATGCCAACTTTAATGAAATGGAATGGATGATTGTTGTATAGTTTTTCTAGTCTGTTGTCTTAGATTATTTCTTTTTAGAGGCCGGAGATGATTGAAGTCCATACCTAGCCATGCTGTCTTTTCACTTTCTTATCCTTTTTCTAGATCCATTTGGAGATCCTTTCA